AGGAATGCCCCAAAGTGCCAGTTAATGAGGGAATTTGGGCTTGGGACAGGCAGAGGGAAAAGCTGGGAGTGGGAGGGGGGGATGCAGGCATAGGGATAAAGCAGGAAACTGGGATTGGGAGGGGGGTTTGTATCCTGGGATGGTGGGAGGTGTCCCTGCCCATGGCAGGGGTGGGACTGGATGAGCTTTAAGGTTCCTTCCAACCCAAATCATTCCAGGATTCCCTGACCTCCTTTCCTGCCCAGCTGGGAGCTCTTCTCCCCATCAGACCCCATCACTGACAGGGATTTTCCTGTTCCTGCTGCCACCTACCCCCTCTCAAGGTGCCCCAAATTAAACTTAAATACCCACTGACCCCAAATTCCTACCTGTCCCCACCCGAAGGAGGCTGGAGCCAGACCCCAATAGAAATGTCCCCAAGTGCACAGCGGGACTGGGACGGAGGGAGGGGTTTGGGAAGGGAATTGGGATGGTGGTGGCACAGCCACCTCTCATCTGTGCCATGGGGGGCTTGGCCCTGCCTCTCCCCAGGCTGGCACTGGGCTCACACCAGTTTCTCCCATCAGCAGGTGACAGGAGTGGACGCTGTGGGGTCCAGGTGACTGGGGAAGGCCGGAGGAAAGCCCAGGCTGGCTCTGGAATGTGGCCGGGATCCGTGGGACGCTCATCCCGTGCCCAGGGTAAGGGTTTGCCCCCTCCCTTCCCGAATAAACAGCCCCAGGTGTGCCCAGAGGGTCCCACCCGGGGTCTCCTCACCCCTCAGTGCCAGAGGGGACAGCGAGGTGACACCCCAGGAAGCTGGAAGGACACGGAGCAGCTGCCACCCAGCCCAAGGCAGCGGGAATCAACGAGGGAAAGGGGGAAAATTCCAGTGCATTAAAGGTGTTGAAAGCCCTCGGTCGTGTCCCAGCCTGGTGTCTGAGCAGAATTTTGCCCCTTTTTCTTGCAGGACCCCCAAATCCCTGCGAGCCTCAATGTCCAGGGTATGTTTCCTTCCCCACAGGTCGAGTTTTCCCCTCCCAGCCCTCTTCCTGCCCACGGTGGGAGCTGAGGGGTGTCCTGAGGGTGTCCCAGCCTCAAAGGGGATGATACCCTGTCCCTTTTGGGCTGAGGGGGGGCAGGAGCAGCCCAGCTTCGGGCTGGGGCACTGTGGGGACCTGTGTCACCTCACCCTTGCTCCCTCCTGCTCGTTTCCATCCTTGGGAACTACGTGTGATCCCACTTTGCCATCCAGGGAGTCCTGGTGGGAGCCAGGAGGGACAGGTTGGGGAAACAGGGACAAAACCCCTGTCAGCACCACCAGCTCCCAGTTCAACCAGTTCAACCAAGCCGGTGCTGCTGGTCCCGAGGCTCACTCCAGCCCCACAGCTCCTGTTTTCCTGCCTTTTTAACTCAGATTTCAAGGCAAAAGCAGGAGCTGGAGACCTGCAGCTCCAGCGGGTGATGGGAACAGCGCTCAGGATCCACCGCAGGGTTTGGTGATGTGGGAGCCTGGAGCTGGGTCTGGCTCAGTCCCCTCCCCAGGGAGGGCTCTGAGATCCCACCAGGCACCGCTTAAAACCCCTGCGTGGGGCGTCGTGGAGCCGGGACAGCTCCTCCACGGATCCATGGGAAGCACATCCTGGAAAACCCCCGGGGCTCCCAATCGCCCAGCACGCGCTCGCCCGCCGCCGCCGGCGACCCAGACGCCCAAATATTGAGCTATACATTAAATTAGCAAGGGGGAAAGAAAAAAAAAAAAAGGGGCCGGGAGGGAGGGGAGAGCCCCCGGAGCACGTTGGAGGGAGCGTGTGGCAGTTTGTTATGCTAACCGAGGGGGGCTCCGCTCGGGGGGGACGTGTCGGAGAGGTCTGAAGAGCAAGGAGTTCACAGGCCCTCTCCTTTTGTCATGCTAAAAGTGCAACACAGAAAATATATACAGGCAGCTGCTCAATGGAGCGTGAAATACAAGTGATTTCTCCGGGAGCGGGCCGGGTAATGCGATGCAGAAGCCCGGACAATGCCCCGCGCCGCCGCCTTTGTGCGCGATGGGAAACTTTTTTTTTTGGGGGGGGGGGGATAAACGGGCACGGAGAGGGGTGCCAGCTTCCCAGGGGTGGGAAGTCCCCGAGTGTCGCCGTGGCTTTGCTGTCCCCTGGCTGCGGGAGCGCCGGGAGGCGGGTTGGGGTTGCCCGGGGGTCGATCCCGGCTCGGTGGGCGTCAAATCTCAACCCTCGGGATTAAAAATTACCCCCCCCCCCGGTGTACGCGGGATGCTGGGCCTGGCACCCCCCGACCGGGCTCGGGAGTTGGAAACCCGTTAATTCCCGACTTTTCCCGCGGCCCCAGCTCCCTTTGCTGATGCAAATTGGGGCATCCCCGGCAGGAGCGGTGTAAAATCAGCCCTCAAAGGGGCTTTTGTGTGCGGGGGGAGGGCGGCCGGGCCGGGGGGGGATGCTCCGAGCATCCATCTTCCACCTTTCCCTCCTTTTTTTTTGTGCCTCGGCGGGGCTGAAAGCCGGCGCTGTGGGGGCTCTGGGGGTCTCCTGGGGCTCTGGATTCGTTCCAGAGGAGCCGAGGGACCGCCCTGGGCAGCTCCAAGTGTTCCCCAGTGGAAGGTCTGGGAGAGTCTGGGGGTCGCGGGGGGTCTGGGGCTGGGGGGGGGTTCAGGACATGGGGACAGCAAAGGTGATGGAGCAGCTTCTTCCCTGGAAGCTGCTTCCCTGGAGCCTGGTCTGGCTGGACATGAGGGATCGGGTCCCTTTGGGGGATCTGGGGGGGATTTTTGGTATCCCAGCCCCCGCTGAGGGAGGGGCTGCTCAGCCTGGGGGGGCACACCGGGGGCTGCATTGCCCAGGGTGCCCCGGGGGTGCCTGGGGAGGGCGGGGGGATGCGGGACCCCCCCAAACCCGGGTACCCCAACCCTCGGGGCCGCTCCGGGCACGGGCGGAAGCGACATCTAGTGGGAAACGCATCCCGTCGCCAGGGAGATCCATATCCATGGCAACCCCTTGGGAATACCGGCACCCTGCCTGGACCAGGGGCACCCACCGAGAGGGGGAGTGGGGTGTTCCTGGCAAGGCAGGGCTGTCACAGCCCTCCGTGACCCCGAGCTCAGCTGGAATGCTCGCAGATCCCACCGGGATGCGGGTCCTGGCACCGGGATGTGGGTCCTGGCACCGGGATGCGGGTCCTGGCACCGGGATGTGGGTCCTGGCACCGTGGTGGGCGCTGAAACCCCTTCCCCGTTATCACCCTGGACCTGCAGCACCGGCCCCAAACCCCTTCAACTCCTCCAGTGCCCACAGGGAGATGCAACCAGACAGAACAAGGGGATAAACACGGGAGAGGATCCCATTTATCCCACAAGGAAGACACGGGGAAAAGGACACGGCAGGTAGGATGGGCACCGACTGTCCCTGGCATCGCCAGCCCTGGAGGGATGTAAAAGAGAGCAGAGATAACGTGATGAACTGACCACAGCCCCCATTCCCCATCCCCCCGTGCCACTGGGGGAAAGGAGGGAGAGAATTTGGGAGTGAAGTTAAGCCCAGGAAGAAGGGAGGGGCGTGGAGAAGCTGCTTTTAGCATTTGATTTAATTCCTCATTTTCCTGCTCTGATTCGACTGGCAACAAATTAAACCGATTCCCCCAACTCGAGTGTGTTTTGCCTGTGACTTTAAGGGGTCCCCTCTGGCTGGGGATGGGGAGCCGTAGAGCTGCTTTGGTGGATACCTGGGCGCTACCCAGGGGTGCGGGAAGACGCATGGATATGATTTACGATGGATATTCATATATGAACCCACGCGGGGGTCGAGGGAGTCGCGGGGGCCGCCCCGAGCGGCGGAGCCGGGACTCGAACCCGCGGAGCCGGGACTCGAACCCGCGGCCCTAAGGCCGCACCGGGCCCAGCGCTCCCGGAGGGCAGCGAAGAGCCCGCCCCCCCCACATAGCGGCCTCTCCATTGGTCGATCAGCTGCCAATCACGGGGAGAGCGGCCGCCGATTGGCTGGCGGGGCGGAGGAGGCGGTGGGAGGAGCTTCCTGCGGCCGCCCGTGCGCTGAGCCCGCCATGGTGGGCACGGGGGGCACGGCCGGGGCGTGCGAGGGGCCGGGCACGGGGGGGGGCATGGCCGGGGTGCCCGGGAGGGTGCGTGCTTAAGCGGGTCCACGCTCAGGGGAGCTCTGCCCTTGGGGGTGCATGACCCGGGTGACCCGGAGGTGTGCGTGGGAAGGGGGTTTGTGAGGACGCGGGGGATGCGGGACCCTCCCCGAACCTGGGTACCGCAACTCTCGGGGATGCTCTGGGCACGGGGAGTGCTTGACCGGGGGGGTCCCTGCCCGGGGGGTGCATGACCGGGGGGTCCCAGGGGGTCGCATGGCCAGAAGGTCACACCCGGGGGGTGCCTGCCAGGGGGAAGGGGTGGGGGTGGTCCCTGCCCGGGGTTGCGCGTCTGGAGGGTCCCTGCCCATAAAGTGCCAGCCTGGGAGAGAGGGGGGGTTCCTGGTCGGGGGGGTGCATGACCGGGGTGTCCCAGGGGGTTGCAGGACCTGGGGTCTCTCCCAGGCCAGGAGGAGATTCCAGGGGTCGTACACCCGGGGGGGGGGGTTCCTATCCCAGGAGGAGATCCAGGGGGGTCCCACACCCGGGGGGTCCCATCCCAGGGGGTTGCACACCCGGGGGGGTTCCTATCCCAGGAGGAGATCCCAGGGGGGTCCCACACCCGGGGTGTCCCATCCCGGGGGATCCCACAGCAAGGACAGGGCTGGGGCTCCCCAGCCCCACTCCCACCCGTCTCTGGGAGCTGGGGGTGACCCCGCAGTGTCCCCCCCACCCCGGCACAGGCGGTGATGGGGGTGCAGGTGGTGGTGACCCTGCTGGCCGCCAGCCTCATGCAGAAGATGGCCCCTCACTGCTCCTTCGCCCGCTGGCTGCTCTGCAACGGCAGGTACGGGCTCTGCCCCTCCCTGCTCCACCCCGGGGGGCTTTTGGGGACACCCAGGGACCCCCCCATGTGCTCCCTTCCAGCCTGTACCGGTACAAACACCCCTCGGACGAGGAGCTCTGCGCCCTGGCTGGGAAGCAGCGGCCCAAGGCCAAGAGGGACAGGTGAGGAGGGGCTGGAAAGGATCAGGGCGTGGGTTTGGGGTTAACAGGACTCTCCCCGCCGTGCTGGGGAGCTGCAGCACCAGCAGCACACGAGGCTCAGGGCTGCTGGCAAGGAGCAGTTTGTACATGAGGGACAAACTCGTGGCTCGGGGCTGCTGGCAAGGAGCAGTTTGTACATGAGGGACAAACTCCTGTCTCCCCGTACAGGAGGGTGAACGGGGTGCTGGAGGACAAGCCCCTCTCTGTGCCCCGGGACATCGACCTGCGCCTGGACACCACCCCCATCACCGCCGTGGATGCCCTGGGTAACCCCCCCTCCGCTCTGCTCTGGGCTCAGGGCCCCCCTGAGGGTCCCCCCAGGGGGGTGACGTGTCCCTGTGCCCCCCCAGTGCTGCGGTACTTCCTGGAGTACCAGTGGTTCGTGGACTTTGCCGTGTACTCCACCGCCGTGTACGTCTTCACCGAGGGCTACTACAGCCTGGCCAACCCCCCCCGGGAGACCAACCTGGGAGTGCTCTGGTGCCTGCTGACCGTCCTCTTCTCCGTGTATCCTTCTGCTGCTTTCCAGGCTCCCGTTCATTGGCGGTCCAGCCTGGAACTCCCCTCCCCACGGAGCTGGAAATCTTCATTTTACGGGTTTATAAAAGTTTATAAACCCCCCCGGTGATGAGCTGGGAAGGCACCTCCCAAGCCCTTCCCAGGTGGTGGCCTGGTGGTGTGGGTGATTCACACGTGCTGGTGAGCAGGGGGGGTGTCCCCTCGGTGTTGGGGGGTCCCCAGAAGGGTCTGGTTTCCTTGACGGGCTCCCCTGGCCCCCAGGAAGGTGTTTTTCATGGTGATGCGCCACTATTTCCGCTCGGAGGAGGGGGGGGAGCGCTCCGTGTGCCTCACCTTCGCCTTCTTCTTCCTCCTCCTGGCCATGGTGGCCCTGGTGGTCCGGGAGGAGCACCTGGAGTTCGGCCTTGAGGCTGGTGGGTGATGGGGGACAAGGGGAGGCGGGTGGGGAGGGGGCCCTGGGGGGGCTGCAGGCACCCCACTCATGGGGGGGGGTCACACCCCGCTCTTGGGGGGTCACATCTCACTCTTGGGGGGGTCACATCCCACTCATGGGGTGGTCACACCTCACTCTTGGTGGTCACATCCCACTCATGAGGGGGTCACACCCCACTCTTAGGGATCACATCTCACTCTTGAGGGGTCACATCTCACTCTTGGGGGTCACATCCCAGTCGTGGGGGTCACATCTCACTCTTGGGGGTCACACCCCGCTCATGGGGGGGTCACACCCCACTCTTGGGGGTCACATCCTAGTCGTGGAGGTCACATCCCACTCATGGGGGTCGCATCCCTTTCACAGGGGTCACATCCCACTCATGGGCGTCACACCCCACTCATAGGGGGTCACATCCCAGTCGTGGGGGTCACATCCCGTTTATGGGGGGGTCTCTCTCCACTCCCAGGGCTCACACCCCATTTCTGGGGGGTCTCTCCCCACAGGGCTGGCTGGGGTCAGCACTAACCTGGAGCCCCTCCTGAAGCAGCGGGGCTGGGAGTGGACGTGAGTTGGCGACGGGGCAGGGAGGGAAATGGGGCTTTTCGGGACATTCTTTGGGGCTCTGGGGTGGGGGCAACACCCCCCCCCTCACGCTCCCTTTTCCCTCCACAGGCTGCCCCTGGCCAAGCTGGGCTTCAAGCTGGGGCTGGTGGCCCTTTGCTCCTTCCTGGGCGCCTGCCTGACTTTCCCGGGGCTGCGCCTGGCCCAGACCCACCTGGATGCCCTCAGGATGGCAGCTGACCAGCCCCTGGCACAGTTGGGTGAACCCAGCTGGCTGGGATGGAGGGGGTTTGGTGGTGGGAGGGATTTGGAAGGGATTTGGGCTGGTTGGGATGGAGGGAGTTTGGTGGGAGGGTGAGCACTGGCTGGGATGGAGGGGGCTTGGTGATTGGGAGGGATTTGGGCTGGCTGGGATGGAGGGGGTTTGGTGCTGAGAAGGTGGGGATGGGCTGGGATGGAGGGGTTTGGTGGTGGGAGGGATTTGGAAGGGATTTGGACTGGCTGGGATGGAGGGAGTTTGGTGGTGGGAGGGATTTGGGCTGACGGGGATGGAGGAGGTTTGGTGGTGGAAGGGATTTGGGGCAGTTGGAATGGAGGGAGTTTGGTGGCAGAAGGGATTTGGACCGGCTGGGATGGAGGGGGTTTGGTGGTGGGAGGGATTTGGAAGGGATTTGGACTGGCTGGGATGGAGGGGGTTTGGTGGTGGGAGGGATTTGGACTGGCTGGGATGGAGGGGGTTTGGTGGTTGGGAGGGATTTGAGGTGGTTGGGATGGAGGGGGTTTGGTGGTGGGAGGGATTTGGAAGGGATTTGCACTGGCTGGGATGGAGGGAGCAGGGTCAGGGGGTTTTACAGGATGGGGGGTCTCTCTGACGGCTCCCCCACAGGCTCCTGCTCCACCTGATTTTCCTGGCGCCCGTCCTGGTGGTGGTGATGTGGGTCAAGCCCATCTCCCGGGATTTCCTGCTCCGCGCGCCCATGGGCAAGGAGACCGTGCAGCTGTAAGTGGGACACGTCTCCACGCGCTGCTCCAAGGGGCAAACTGAGGCACGGGGGGGGGCTCCCCTCCTCTCCTGCACCACCCCCTGTCCTGTCAGACCCCCTCAGGGGCTCTGCATCCCGGGATTTCGCCGTTCCCGCAGGATGTCGGACTCTGCCTTCGACAGCGCGCGGCTCTGGAGCATCGTGGGGCTGTGCCTGCTGCGCCTGCTCGGCGCCCGCCGCCACCTCCAGGCCTACCTGGGGCTGGCCGAGCGCTGGGTGGAGCAAATGAGGAAGGAGGCCGGGCGGATCCCAGCCCTGGAGATCCAGCAGAAGGTCGGGATGCGGGAGCCGGGGTGCCCGGGGGGGGGTGGTGGCCGTGCCGGGCCGGCGGCGACTGATCCCCCGCTGCCCCACAGATCACCAGGATCTACTGCTACGTCCCCGTGGTCACCCTGCAGTACCTGGGGCCCGTCATCCTCACCCTGCACTGCACTCTGCTGCTCAAGACGCTGGGTGAGGAGCTGGAGGGGGGATCATGGGGGTTGTGGGGGGCTCAGGAGGGGCGGGAGGAGACCTGCGGGTCATCGTGAAGCCACCAGCACCCACCTTGTCCCCAGGCTCAAGATTTAGACCTCACAGCCATCTACAGCTTCCTCCTGAGGGGCAGCACCAGCCTCTGCTCCCTGCGAGCAGTGACAGGACCCGGGGAACGGCTGGAGCTGTGCCAGGGGGGTTGGGATGGATTTTGGGAAAAGGTTCTTCCCCCAGAGGGTGCTGGGGTACTGCCCAGGCTCCCCAGGGCAGTGGGCACTGCCCCAAGGCTGCCAGAGCTCCAGGAGCGTTTGGTCAACGCTCTGAGGGCCAGGGTGGGATTGTTGGGGTGTCCTGGGCAGGGCCTGGGGTTGGGTTGATGATCCTTGGGGGTGCAGCTCGGGGCGTTCTGGGATTCTATTCCGTGACTCTCCCTGGTCTGCGGTTGGCACAGACCCGCAGGGAGGGCGCTGGGGCTCTGTGGGGACGGGGCTGCAGCTCAGGGACCGTCCCCCCCAGCCCTGTCCCCTCTGTCCCACAGGGCACCTCTCCTGGGGGCTGTACCCGGAGCCCCCCCCGGTGTCCCCGGCGGTGCCGGCGCCGGGCCCTGCGGGCGAGGAGGGCGAGGACGTGCAGGTGGTGGTGCAGCAGATCACGGGCATCCTGGACTGCATCTTCACCCCCCCCTTGCTCCGGGGGCTCTTCTCCTTCCTCACCTGGTGGGTGGCCGCCTGCCAGGTCGTCACCAGCCTCTTCGGCCTCTACTTCCACCAGTACCTGGCGGGGTCCTGACTGGGAGGAACTGGGACGTGCCTCGGGGCACCGTCCGTGCCCGGCTGCTGCTCCTGCCTCGACTGGTTCCCCCCTCTTTGCACGTGCTGGTGGCACCCCTGGACACGTGGGGGGGATGTTTGTGCTGCCAGCTCAGGGCAGGACGGGTTTTGTGCCCGGGTCGGGGTGGGCATTGCCCGCCCCTGTCACCCGTCACCGCCGTGCCTGCTCCCACCCCCTGCAGCCCCTCTGTCCCCTCCTGACTCCACTGCTGTGCTCTCCTCGAGGGCAGCAGCAGCTCCTGCCAGCCCAGGTTGGTACCTGCTGGGCAGAGGAGGTGGTGGGGACCTCCAGCACAGACTTCGGGGTGTGCTCTGCCTCGTGTTTGCCTCCACCGGCTGAGGGTGTTTTTGTAGGGTCTCTGCCGTGGCCAGCTGGCTCAGAGCTCCTTGGCATCATCCCTGTGCTTCCTGTGAGCCCTCAGGCCCAGCAGCCTCGGCTTTGGCCGGGTTAGGAATAAATAAGTGACCCAGAGTCGCTGCCATCCCAAAAGCTGCTGCTTGGTTTGCACTTTTGTGTCCCCAAAGGCCCCTCCCCGAGCAGGGCAGGGGGTCCCACGTGTGGATGTAGCTGCTTTTTTGGCACCACCCTTGAGGAGGAGACCTTGGCTCACCCCAGCCCAGCTCAGTGCCTGTCCCTGTCCCTGTCCCTGTCCCTTCCCTCAGCACCGGGGTCACCCCGGGGCTGGTGACACACGCTGGCTGTGGGGGTGGGGACAGGGGACAGGGCCCCTCGTCCCTTCTCAGCCGAGCTCTGCCACGTGGTGGGTGCTGGTCCGGCTGCATGAAACAGGATTAGCAGGTCTGGGCTGCTCAGAGAAAGGGAGAGGGGCTCTGATCCTATTTGATAGCCTTGTAATGGTCTTAATTCCCTCTTGCTAAGGGCCAGGATGAGACAGCAGCCCTTTGCCCGGTGTTAACTGGGCTAATCCAACCCTCCTCCTCCTCCTCCTCCTCCCCCTCCTCCCCCATGAGAATCCACGCTGCGGACACGTAAATTTGACAAAAAAACCACCGGGAAATCCCCATTTTGCGAATCCCCGGGGGATGCAGAGCCCGGCAGGGCACCGGGGACCAGCACAGGGGCAGCAGGAGCCGCTGGCACCGCGGGGAGGGGGCGAGAGAGAAGCGATTCCCGCACGGATCCGGGCGCGGAGGATCCTGTCCCAGCCCGTGCCCGTGCCACTAAAAGCCATCCCGACCGCCTTGATGGCTCATTTATCTGATTTCCCGGCGGGCCGGGGCGGTTGCTAAGGCCGGGGGTTGCGCCGGAGTCAGACACGCAGACGGATCCTCCCCCGGGATGTGCCCAGACTGACCCTCCCCGGCGGGGACAATGACGGATGGAGCAGCCGAGACACAGCCACGGGCTCCCAAACCGGGCCACAGCACACGCGGGGAGCGATTCCCACCCCCCTCCTCCAACCTGGGATCATTCCCACTCTTTGTACCTTGGTTTTGTGCAGGGGATGGGATGGGTTCTGCAAGGACCACGCTGGGGCTCCCAGGAGATGGGACCGGGAGGTTTTGTTGCTGCAGAGGCTCTGCTGGCACCGGGATTCAGTCTGGCAATTGCTGGGACCTCCCACAACCTACCTGAGCCACACTGGGAGCTCTTCCTTCCTTCCCCCAGCCCTCTCCCATCCAAACTGGGATCCCCCTGCCAACCCTGCAGAGCTGCTCCTGCTCGGAGCAGCTTGGAGGGAATTTGGGAGCAGCTCTCCCCAGGGTGGATGGTTCCCAAACACAGGGAGTCAGGAAGCCAAAGGAAGGGATGGTCCTGCTCCAGGGAAGATGGACAGGGAGCAGCTCCTACGAAGTTCAGGGCAAGTCTGAGCCTCTGGGCCTCTATTTCCCTTGGGATACAACAGGACATCCCAGGGAACAGCAATGGGATACAGGGAGGCTGCTCTGGCAGGGCTGGACTTGTCCTCCCTGCTCTGACCTCCTTACTTTGCACTGCACTGGGTGCCACAGCCACCCTGGGCCTGGAATGTGGTTGGAAAACACCAAAATCCCCCCAAACTGGCAGCAGCTGGGGGTCCCCAACTTGGGGGAAGCCACCAGGCCGTGGCTAAGCCGACAGTGCCACCTGCTGCCACCACACACCCGGCCCTGTGTCCCTGTCCCACACCACGGCAGGGCCTGAACCAGCCCCAGGGCTCCTCCTTTCCCTCCTTCCAGGCTTCTCCCAACTTCCCTGCAAAACCCCACCCCGGGTGTGGGACCCCCCTCAACGTGGAACACGAGGCACCCCCGGAGAGCCTGCAAGTCAATTCGATTTTTTTATTATTAAATATACATCCTCTCTTGGCACAAATCTTAAAATATATAAACATTATATATAACAAAGTGTCTTCACTGCAATAAAATAGAACTCCAGATCCAAGAAAAGCAGTCAAAATCGACACACACACACACACACACACACACACACACACATTGATGGTGAGGACACAAAAGGCATTTTTAACAGTGTTTGTGCTAATAAATGCATAGACCACACAGGCAGTGAGCAGTGCTGGGAAACCCTGCAGGGCATGGCATTCCAGGGGGGGACAGAACAGGAGGAAACAGCCCCTACAAGATCCAAAAAAGGCTGTTTTGTAGGAAGGCCACCTCCTCCTCTGGTGGAGAGAGCCCAGAATGTACCCCCAGCTCTCTGAGGAGCCCAGGAACCCAGCCAGGAACCTGGGAAGTACCTGCAGAGCCCAGGAACCCAGTCAGGAACCTGGGAAGTACCTGCAGAGCCCAGGAACCCAGTCAGGCACTGGGGAATCTCCCTGGGAAGGATCCCAGCACATTCCCTGCCCGCCCGGGACCGGCACCGGCCTTGCTCGGCGCTGCCACGTCACCTCTGCTCAAAGCCTCCTTTCATCTGCTTTTGGGTTAAAAGACAAGAGGGTGAAGATGGTGCTCGAGTCCTTCCAGGTGGAAGGCAATGGGAAGTGCCACAGGAAGTTATGGAGCTGCTCCTGGAGAGCTCCCGGGGAGCCCCACACCGGGGAGGCCGGGACTCCTCTCCCGACCCTCCCACCGCGGTGCCACCGCCCTCAAGTCTCCAAGCAAACAAGAAGCCAGCTCAGATCCCGCCTCCCACATCCTCAAGTGACCCCTGAGCTTCCCAAGTTCTTCCCAAGGCACCTTCCAGCCAGCAGCCACTTCCAGGGAGCAAAACGGGGCATCCTTGGAGGTACGGCAAGGAAACGACCCGGAGCAGCAGCAGCAGCATCTCAGCTCGTGAAGGGAAGGGGCTGGGACAAGGGAAGGTGCTAAACTGGACAAAAAACTTCCAAAAAAACCTTCCTTCCCATCACTCAGTGCCTGTAACTTCTTGCCCCCCCTCCAGGAGCACCGAGGCCTGCGAGGGGGGAAGGGGTCGGGCTGGAGAGCTGCAGTTTTGTCGGTTTTGGATGCATTTATTGGACCTGATTTTCTCGAAGTGCTAGTGCAGGGCTCAAGGTGCAGAAGCAGGAGGGAGGGAGAGAGGGGGGGAAGAAGAAAAAAGCACGAATTCCTGCTTGGCTGTAATGTATTAAAGGAACCGTGGGAAACGTGACTCGGGAATAAAAAGCAATTTGAGGAGAACGAAACGAAAAACTGGGGAATTGCAGCAGTAGCAAAGAAGTTCTAAAGAAAAGAAGGAGTAGAGGATATTCCTGTTTGACCTGTCTCCTTTCTCAGGGCTAAAGGCAAAGGACCTTCTTGGCCAGCACACAGATACCCCCCTTCCCAAAGCAGGACACCTCATTCCAGGCAGCAGAGAGATCTGGAACGTGTCTCAATTCATGCAAGGAACAAGAGAAGGGAAGAGAACACTCTGTTTCTCCTTTTCTACATTCAAATCAGAGAAAAGAACACAAAACCCACCCCCACTATTTAAAACAACCCAAAGCAGTAACACACAGTTACTTCAAACACTTCTGCCCAAGAAACAAAAGCACCAAAACCACCCCGGACTGAATCCAAAGCTCTGTCTCTGGACAAACACTCAGCCTGCAGAACTTGGAAAAACAGGTTTGGCTCAAATTCCACTGAATTACAATCAGGTGAAGCTGCTAATTTAAGGAACAACTTCTCTTGGCCCAGTGCTTCCAAGTTTGGCTGTGCTCGTTCCTCAGCTCCAGGTTCCGGCTGCGAGGTGGGAGTTCCAGGCTCAGCCTCTTCCAGAGGATTCCCATCCACTCAATCCACTGGTTGCACTTCTGACAGGGCAGAAGATTCCCTGTGCAGATCTGCCCTCCCATTCACTCCCAAACAAGGGGCCAAGTCACCCAGGAAATCCTTTCTCAGGAGGAATTAAAGCACCTCTGTGGCTGCAGGGGTTCAGTGAGATGATCCACTAATTCCACGGAGCAAAGGAAGCAGCTCCAACCTGGATGCCACAGTCCAGCTTCTCCTCCTCCTCTTCCTCCTCCTCCTCCTCCAGGGCTGTGCAGAAAGGAAGGAGCTGTCCAGGCTGGCAGGGGATGGGCATGGATTGGACACATGGACACACAAACAACTGCTCACACGCCTGGGAAGCAAGGATTTCCTCACCAGGGAAAGACAAGAGCGGGATAATTGGGCTTCTCCATTGGAGAAAAGAAATCAAAAGCTCTTGCAAGGACCGAGCAAAGCTTCACCCGAGGGAAGAGAAGAGCTGAGATCACCTTCTGTCAGCAGCAGGAGCAAAGGACACTCAGAATTCGTGGCCATCATCTCCACGGGCTCTCACACCCCCCCACTGACAGTTCTCTAATCACAGATCAGGGGCTGCAGTCCAGGGATGCACAAATCACAATTTCTGGGCCTGGAGGCAGAAGTTACTGAGGTTGACACCCAGCCAGTAAAGTCTGGTCCGTCCCAGCTCTGGGAACAACGTGTTAACACCTCAGTGTGCTGGCTCTGGGCCGTGTCTACAACGTGCAAGTGGAGGTGCTTTGATTCCTAAGGAAATATTTGGCATGAGAAGCAAGTTCTGCTCCAAAGAACAAGTGCAAAGACAAAAAGAAAGGAGAAGGCTGCCTCTACCAGCTGTGCAATTGCCTCCATTCCCATTAATCCGTGACACAAGGCTCAAGCTACGACAGCTGAAATGCCAACACCAGGAAAGGACAGATTCTAATTTATGCCTTATTTTTCTTTTATACATTATGGGCTGTGCTGGGCTAAGAAGGGATTTTTTATCTTGGTTTAGGTAATCTGATTCTCAGGGAAGCCTGAAGTTTGCTCTGACCTCTCCTGCACTCCAAATTTAATAAGAGGAACGGATCACAGAACAACCCCACCCCCCAAAATCTCCATTTCCCTGAAAACTGATTTAAAACAGAAACACCAAAAGCTTCTTCACCATTAATTTTCAAATTACGAGTGGAAGTGATTGGCACTACATAGATCATTTCTGAAAGGTCAGCACTGGCTGTGGTGCCCAGAATCCCAAGGACCAGGCTGGTCCAGGAGAATTTTAGGAATAGGAAAGCAAGTGGGACGAGGTGTGGATTAACAAACGGAGGTGACACGACCTACACAGCAGGCACCAAAAGACAACAAGGTTGTTCAGAAGCAGGGCCAGAAGCTGGAATCAGCTCCCAGGCTGGTTCCACCACGCAGGGACAGCTTTTTTTTTGGGACAGCAAAGTCAGGTGTTTGTTCTCACGTGGTGCATAGAGCAGCAACAATAATACTGAAGGATAAAACTGCTTGAACTGTAAGGATGTAACGCCCTCTCCTAGTGCATCAACACTGTTAAATCCCTTGTCCTGCTTCCTCCAGACCAGGACAACATGGAAGGGTTTGGGCAGCCCCAGAACGTGACTGCAGTTTGAGTCCACCCAGTTTGGGAATCCAGGCCCAGCCCTGACCCGACAACAAGGACAACACACACGAGAATTCCATTCCCAAAACGGCTCAGAACTTCCCTCCCCTGCTGTCCACAGTCTTTGGTAATCTCGGAGGGACACACCACAAACAAGGGGGATTGATGCAAAACTCAACCCAAAAGTGAGAGAAACAACTGGAGAAGGGCAGAGGAACATTCAGCTTCCAGGACAAGAGCAGTGTCCCGGCCCTGCTCCGTGGAGAGCACGCTCCCAGCTCGCAGGAACACGTGGAATTCCCTCAGACTAACTGGAATATTGCACTTGGCAGGCTGCCTCCAGCTAACACGTGCTCTGGGAGCTCCAAACTGCCTCGCCAGGAGCAGCAGCCGCCGCTTCCCACATCCAGGGGGTCATTCCAACAGCACCGAGTCCCCTCTTCCATCATCCGCCGCCTCCTCTGCCCAGGGAGCCCAGGGGGGGAGCGGGAGCAGAAAGTTGGTTTGGGAAGCTCCACTCCTGGCACCAGAGTCAGGCAAAAGGGGTGAGGCAGCTGCTTTGGAGGGCTCAGCTCTGCGGGATCGGAGGAGGAGGAATTTTGTTCGAGGGTCGAGGTTTCCGAGGGACCAAAAAAAAAATAATAATAATTGAAAAAAAAAATAAATCCAGGAACAACAGGAAGCCCAAACAAGGCAGGTGAGTTCTGAGCTGTGGGAGGGCACAGGCGAGGTGAGGGTTCTTTCTACACGGTTTTGGGACTTTCCCCTGGCTGAGGGGGTTGAAGCACTACCTCCATGTGCTGCAGCTTGCGGAGGTCAAAGGTGGTGAAGCTGATTCCCACCACGATGGGCCCTTTGAGGTTTCCAAAGGACTCGAGAGGGCTCGTTACAAAGGACAAAAAAAAATAATAATAAAAAACAAATCATCCAGGAACAACAGGAAACCCAAAACAAGGCAGGTGAGTTCTGAGCTGTGGGAGGGCACGGGGGCATTGCTCTTTCTACACAGTTTGGGATTTTCCTCCTGGCCAGGGCTGAGGGGGTTGAAGCACTACCTCTCCAGGTGCTGCAGCTTGCAGAGCAGGATCTGCGTCAGGTCAAAGGTGGTGAAGCTGATTCCCACTGCAATGGGCCCTTTGAGGTTTCCGAGGGACTTGAGAGGGCTCGTTACAAAGGACCAAAAAAAAAAAAAAATAAAAAAAAAAATCATCCAGGAACGACAGGAAACTCAAAACAAGGCAGGTGAGTTCTGAGCCGCGGGAGGGCACGAGGGCATCGCTCTTTCTACATGTTCTGGGACTTTCCCCTGGCTGAGGGGGTTGAAGCACTACCTCTCCACGTGCTGCAGCTTACGGAGCAGGATCTGCGTCAGGTCAAAGGTGGTGAAGCTGATTCCCACTGCAATGGGCCCTTTGAGGTTTCCAAAGGATTCGAGAGGGCTCATTACAAAGGACCAAAAAAAAAAAAATATTAGTTAAAAAAAATATCCAGGAACAACAGGAAACCCAAACAAGGCAGGTGAGTTCTGAGCCATGGGAGGGCACGAGGGCATCGCTCTTTCTACACGTTTTGGGACTTTCCCCCTGGCTGAGGGGGTTGAAGCACTACCTCTCCACGTGCTGCAGCTTGCAGAGCAGGATCTGCGTCAGGTCAAAGGTGGTGAAGCTGATTCCCACCGCGATGGGCCCTTTGAGGTTTCCAAAGGATTCGAGAGGGCTCATTACAAAGGACCAAAAAAAATAAAATAAAATAAAAAAAAATCCAGGAACAACAGGAAACCCAAACAAGGCAGGTGAGTTCTGAGCCGTGGGAGGGCACGAGGGCATCGCTCTTTCTACATGGGTTTGGGACTTCTTCCCTTGCTGAGGGGGTTGAAGCACTACCTCTCCACGTGCTGCAGCTTGCGGAGCAGGATCTGCGTCAGGTCAAAGGTGGTGAAGCTGATTCCCACCGCGATGGGCCCTTTGACCCAGTTCATGCTGAGGCCTTTGTACAAGCCCCGGATGAGTCCCTCCTCCCTGACGATCTCCCTCATGGTGAGCAGGATGGAGCTGTAGGTGTGGCCCAGCACTCCGGCCGTCTGCATCCGGCGCCGCACCACGTCCAGCGGGTAGGAGGCCGACTGCCCGATGAGCCCCGCACAGGCCCCGAAGAGCAGCCTCTCTGGAGGGGAGGGCTGGGCCTTCCCGCTGTGATCTGGGAGGGAGAGAGCAGCAGGAGGTGGGAAACCGGGAAAAGGGAGCGCCCGGAGCCAGCACTCCCGGGGTTTTGTCCCCGAGTCCTTCCCGCACCCGGGAATTGCGGCTTCTTGTGGCTTCTGCAAGGCACAGTTTTCCTGCAGCTTCGTAGCCTGGAGCTGGAGAGGGTCCCAAAGCTCCACCAGCCACTTTGCAGCTGGGTCCAAGGGCAGGGAAAGGATTTGCACCCCCTCCATCCAAACACAAACACCTGAAGATGGCCCCAAAGCCACTCCCAAACCTTTACCTGCATCCCCCAGTCCAAATACCTGGAGATGGCCCCAAAGCCAGCCCCAAACCTTTGTCTGTGCCCCCCAATCCAAACACCTGGAGATGGCCCCAAAGCCACCCCCAAACCTTTACCTGCACCCCCTCAACTCCAACACCTGGAGTTGGCCCCAAAGACTCCCCCAAACCTTTACCTGCACCCCCTCAATCCAAACACCTGGAGTTGGCCCCAAGTCTCCCCCAAAAAGCAAATCTTTACCTGCCCCCCCAATTCCAACATCTGGAGTTGGCCCCAAAGCCTCTCCCAGACCTTTACCTGCACCCCCTCAACCCAAACACCTGGAGTTGGCCCCAAAGCCTCCCCCAAAAAGCAAACCTTTACCTGCATGGACTTTCTTTAGTGTCTCATAGGTGAAGAAGCTCAGCCCAGCATAGGGGATCACCCCGAGGATGGTGGGGGTGAACCCCCTGTACAAGGTTTTCAGCCCTTCTTCCCGGGATATCCGGATGAAGACGTGGACAATGCTGCTGTACCTGTCACGTGGACACAGGGAGAGCAAAGCTGGGCTGGTCAGAGGCTGCACACTCCAGGAAATATTCCCAACAGCACTTTCTGAAGGATCAGCAATGAATTAATTGGGCCCTGAGCTCATCAGACAGCTCAGAAGGGATTTCAGCAGCAAACGCAGACACCAATCCCCGGCTCTCCCACAGCCCTTCCACCACTTGTGTCCTGCCTGTTGGATCTTTCTGGAAGCACCAAGTGGTCTCCTAAAGAACCAACACACAGGGAGGTCTCCCAGTATCCATCTGCTTCCAGATCCAGGGCTCTGGTTGTTTAATCAGTGCTCAGAGCCCCAGCAATAAGAGGTTTATTGCACCAAAGGCTCTGAGCAAGAAGTGACCCAGAAAATGGGAGTAAAGTCATCTGACCTTAAAAAAAATAACAAATCCAGACAATGGGAGTAAAGGCATCTGACCTTAAAAAAAATCCAGAAAATGTGAATAAAGGCATCTGACTCTAAAAAAAATAATAAATCCAGAAAATGGGAGTAAAGTCATCTGATCTTAAAAAATATATATATAAATCCAGAAAATGGGAATAAAGTCATCTGACCTTAAAAAAAAAAATATAAATCCAGAAAATGGGAATAAAGTCATGTGATATTAAAAAAAAAGAGCCAGAAAATGGGAGTAAAGGTATCTGACCTTGGGAAAAAAAACCCACAGAAAATGGGAATAAAGGCATCTAACCTTAAAAAAAATCCAGAAAATGTGAATAAAGGCATTTGACCTTAAAAAAAAAAATCCAGAAAATGGGATTAAAGTCACATGATCTTCAAAAAAAAAAAAAAAGAGCCAGAAAATGGGAATAAAGGCATCTGATCTTAAAAAAAATCCAGAAAATTGGGAATAAAGGTATCTGACCTTAAAAAAAACCCAGAAAATTTGGAATAAAGGCATCTGACCTTAAAAAAAAAATCCAGAAAATTTAAAAAAAAGGTATCAGACCTTAAAAACCCAAAAGCTGTGGCTGCAGGGGTTGTTGTGAGGCACTTACATCTCCTTGGGTGTGACGGCCATGCGGGCACGGACCATGTCCAGGGGGTAGGTGACCATGGCAGCCGTGGTGCCCGCCAGGGAGCCGGCAATGAACCGAGGGAAGGGGGTCAGGGCCCTGCAGGAGGGGACAGAACAGAGCAAACACATCACCTGGACAGGGAAACACTACTTTGGAGAATGGCTCTGCTCTCCTTGCTCCCAAATCCCTGCTCTGCCTGATCCCAAAACCCTGCTCTGCCTGATCCCAAAACCCTGCTCTGCCTGATCCCCAATCCCTGCTCTCCCTGCCCCAAAACACATTATTCCTGACCCCATCCTTCCCTTTGCCCCCCAAACACCCTGTTCCTGA